ATTATTCTGAGAAATTCTAAGGCATGGGAAGCTAATATGGATTTCTTGAGGGATGGGAAGCTACTATGGATTACTATCGTTTTGTTTTCACGTGATTGTAGGGGTAGAAAACTTAGAAGGATCAAGTATGGCATCAAAATATAGCTGTTTAGACGTGATTTGGATCGAAAATAGAAGAAAAACATATTTCTCTCGTATAATTTAAACATCAAACAAGCTTAGAAGGTAAATAATCTTAATTAAATGAAGCTTTTAAGGTTTTGTGAAACAACTCAAATGCTATCGAAACTTAAACAGCACAATTTTTGATATGGCGCGATTTTAGAATGCGTTTGTTGGCTTTTTGACACCTTGGAATTTTAGGAAATCCTTTGAAAATAATTCTAGTTGAATTATGAAAAAATAATCATAAATTGGGCATATGTTCCCCGTCTAGTGAACAATTTGGACCCTTTTCCTAAAAATCTCTGTTTTAAAGGTTTATGGATGCTTTCCTTGCCGAGATCTTTTATCAGTAATTTCAATTCAGTAAGCTAAGCGCATAGTTCTTCTTTGTAAAAATTGATGAGGTACTAAATGGACAGGCGTTAGTACTAAAATCAGACATGTAATAACATTTTTTGCTGCCCCCTATGGTATTACACGAATTTTAGTACAAAAGGAAAGTTTCTTAACGACGAAAATTTGATCTTACAGCAAACTTAAGCAGTTCATAATTATGCAGTTCATGGACCGTTAAATAATTTTGTGCCCCGAAACTCAACCGTAAAACTTCCAAAGTTTTTTTTCGAGCGATAGTTTTTTTAAATTTAGGTGGTACAAAAACAGTACGGTGAAAGAAAGAAAAGAAAGAAAGAATTTATTTCTCCAAAGTTATAATAAAACATCAAAATAGACACAAGGCACATTGAGCGTCCACTTATAGTCTACCCGGTTTACATCAACAATTCAGGTTATTTAAACAAAATAATGATAAAAATAAAATATATTTTTGATTTTTTGATATTTTCATTAAAAAGGCGATATTTCGGATATAATAAAACTATTGGGGGCAGTCCTTCTATTGGAGCACTGTCACCGTTGTTGGAGGATATATGTAATTGTGGAAGAAAAAAAAAACAGCGATATCTCGAAAACTACAAGTATTTGGAGGCTCATATTTTCAGGGTATATTCGCAGCTCATATATGGTTGTCGTGTAGCATTTAACCACTGCATTGAAAAAAAAGGGGAACGTTAATTAAAAATATATTTAGTTAGATCGCAATTACCCAGAATAAAGCTATCCCTAAAATTGTGGATTAAAATTATTACCTCATTTTTAGTCATCTTTTCAATATTTTGGGGCAGTAAATTATTCTCGTTGAGCAAATTAAGTAATTTCGAACCTCGATTAGTCAGTAAATTTGCTTTAGTGTTATTCTTACAACAATGGGTAACAAATGAAGTATATTTGGATTTCCTTGTGTTGTAGCTGTAACGTTTCAAAGAAAACATTGTATTCAAAAAAAGAGTAGAATGTTTTTGATTCAAAGAACGAATGCAAAACTTTAACAGATCATAGATGTATAGCTCATGAACCGTTAAAATCTTATTATCTATCAGAGCTTCCGTTATGCTATCATATTTATTTTTGAAATAAATCATTCGAACAATTTTCCGTTGAAGAATTAATATTTGGTTTAAATTTGAAAAACTGGTTCCACCATAGACTAGTATGCCGTGCTGTATTACAGGCTTAACATTCGACTGATAATACTTTAATAAAATGGAATTTGGAACATAATGACGCATCTTAGAAATAACTCCGCAGTGCCTACCCAATTTTGTTTTAATTTTTTGAAAATGATGAAAAAATGACAGTTTGCTGTCTAAAACAACTCCCAGATATTTACAGGAAGGTTCAGGCTTATACACAGTTTCAAGTAGTTTAATATCGATATTAGAAGCACTTGTTTTTTTTTTTTAAAACTAATTACAGTTGTTTTGTCAGTGTTTATTGTTAATTTATTTGCACACAGCCAGTTCGCGACGTTTGTCAAGTCATTTTGAAATATTTCGATGCTGGAGCTTCTGCTAGTGATATTAGTATCATCCGCAAATAGGAAAACATCGGAATGTGAAGTTACATCATTTAAATCATTGATATATATATATAAGGAAAAGTAGAGGACCTAGAACCGAACCCTGCGGTATTCCGGTTTTTATAGGTAACCAATCCGATGTATAATCATTGATATGAACACATTGATGTCTTTCCGAGAGATAGCAATTTCCACGTTTTCCATATTTTTCCATTTTTGACAAAGGGATTTTATGATTCAGATCAATAAAAAGACTACAATTAATGATTTTATCATTGCCTAGCCGAATGCGTTCAGTCAATTCTGCTAAGGCATCTATTGTCGCATATTTTTCACGGAAACCAAACTGACGATCGTACAATAGGTCGAACTTGTCTAGATAATTGTATATACGAGAGTGCATAAGTTTTTCAAAAACCTTGCTGATACTACTTAATAGTGCAATCGGACGATAGTTATTCATATCTGATCTGCTTTCGGCTTTATGAAGCGGTAAGATTTTTGCCAGTTTAAGATTTTTTGGAAATATGCCCGAATTGAAAGACAAATTACATAAGTATGTAAGATATGGAGCTATGACATAGCAACTTCTAATCATAAGCAAGTTACTGATCTCATCTATTCCACAAGTTTGTTTGGGTTTTAAATCGTTTATGGTATTTATTACTTCCACAAAAGAACAGTTGAAAAGGAAAATTGATTTATCGGAATCATGATTAGTCAAGATTTCATTCACCGGCTTTATTGACTCAGCGAGTTTTTCGCCTATTGTGTCAAAATATTCATTAAAACAATTAGATATTGATATGATATCTGATGTATACTCACCATTAACCGATAGATTTGTAATACGGGATCTCTTTGTTGATTTACCTGTTACTTCATTAAGAACTTTAAATATTTGTCTCGAGTCTCCAATACATTTATTGAATCTGCTATAGTATTACTCTTTTTTGGTTACCCTTATTAGTTTTTCAACTTTATGACGCTCTTGAATAAATGCTTCTTTTTTCTTGGTATTCAATTTGTCATATTTCCATAGTTTGTATAGTCGATTCCTTTTTGAAATCGAAATTTTGACCTTTTTATTAAACCATGGCGCGTTTGACTTAGTTTTTAATGTTTTATTTCGTATAGGAGCAAATAACTCTACCGATTCAAATAGGCATTTATAAAATTCTTCATAAGCATCATCAATGTTATCATTATTTACAAGATTGGTTGTCTCCAGTTTTTGCTTCAGGACTTGGTTAAAATCGGAAAGTGTTTTCTCTTTCATAAGAAACGACATATCGCGGTATAAATTATTTATATCGAAAAGCCTTTCATTGAAATCTGTTTGTAAAGTTACGGGATAGTGATCAGAAAAACATTCATTATCAAGCACTTTAATGATTGGGTTATCAATTTTTCGGGTTATGAGTGATCTAAACAAGATTCAGTCAATTCACATAACCTTGTTGTACTTTTAGCTAAGAGCTCAAAGCCATTAGCTGTTTTTGAGTTGAAAGATGATTGCTGGAGATTATTTAATCTGAGAGTGTTAATATTAAAATCACCTGCTAATACAATAGGTATATTCTTTTGAGCAAGTATTTCTAATTCTTTATCCAGTTCTTCGATAAACTTATTTTTATCATAACGAGGTGGTATGTAGGCTACAATTAGTATAATTTTATTGCCTCCAATTTTGGCCAGTATTGCCACAGACTCAGGTAAGCTACAGTCAAACCTATCAATTAGATTAACTTTTTCATCGAGTTGAATCATAGTCCCGCCGCCTCGTGTGTTACTATTAGATATTACGGTTTGGAAGCCTTTGATTTTATACATATTAATATTATCGTTTTCATTCAACCACGTTTCAGTTAGGAAAAGAATATTAATAGGAGACTCGAGACTACTTAGAAGTGCTTCTAAATCATCCTGGTGTTTTTAATAGATCGAACATTAGATAATAGAAAATTAACATTAATACTAGCACCACTGAATTCATATTTTCTGTTTTCAAGGATCGCTTTGTCCATTTGAATTCCCGAAAACACAGTTAAAGCACTTTAACACGTTATCTATGCTGTAATCCAGAAAGTCGCCGCCCTCCCAAAGTCCATTGATCTTATAGATTCTTTGATCTTCCTTCCAGATAAAATATATAGTCCCTTCTCGTGTCCATGTTGATTGAATCCTTTCGTCTGTTTTCATAATACGTAAAAAGTTAACCCGCGCTGTGCTTAAATCTTCGAATATCTTTACATCACCAAATCCATTAATTTGAGATAAAGTTCGTTTTTTGCGAAGAAGGTCAATCTTTTTGATTCGCCGCGAAAATCTGATAATCACAGGCTTGTCTCTGCCGGATCTGGTTGGCAGCCTGTGTGCAATGGAAATATCGGTATGGGTTATCTTTGCGTCAATTGCGTCTCCAACACTTATTACTTTATTGATTGTTGTTTCCACTTGTTCTCGTTTTCCATCATTACTCAAGGTTTCTGACAGGCCTATGATCTTCACGTTATCTCTACGATTGTAGCTTTCTAATAGTTCCGCTTCTGATAGGGTTCTCAAAGCTTCTCTCTTTTCCAGCTTGGAAATCTCTTCTTTCGTCCACAACATCATTTCGTTTTTCAAGTTAGATAAGGCTGTTCCAATCGCCGTCTCAACAGCGCTCTTGATTTGTTCTTTTATATTTTCGATCATCTTCGGCATTAACAAATTAACTGAATTAGTAATTGCATCTTCCACTTGCTTCAAAATGTCTAGTTGTCCTGCACCATTATCTTCTGCGCAGGGACTGAGTTCAATAAAGGGTCTCTTGTTCGTTGAGCTGCAAATTGGTGTCTGAACATGATATTTTAGCGTGGACATTTCGTCTTGAGGACCATCAACATCAACAGTTTTCATCTCCGTCTCTGAAACTATTTAATAAGTTTATCACAACAATTAGGCTGCTTTAACTTCTACCTCCATATATAAGTATTATTTTTTGAGTTATTGTTTTTTTTATTGGAAACAGTGTTTCAAAACTTATTTACTAAGGGACATTGTCTCATTTTTGGAACTATTTTTTGAGTATATGTGAATGACTAAATGCGCACATGAATTGGAAATTTAAATCTTTGTTGTATCCGTTACAAGAGGAATTGGAAGCACTTTAAGATGCTCAGCGAAAGTTAAATTTTTTGGTGTTAAGCCGTGTACTGGCTGCACTTAGATCTTTATTAAATTCTTTCAAAAAAAATTGATGCCTATTTTTGTAGTCAATCAGTCCGGGGCCCTACCAGGTGATTGATTATTCAAGCTTGAACTAGATAGATCTCTCTGAATTATAATGAACTAATTAAGCTATGGCTATCTTGCAAACTCTGACCTTGAACATTGCAGCGCACATGCAATATGAACTCGCAATCTTTCCTGCTGCTATATTTATATCATCCGCAAAGAAATTTTTAAAACAAGTAAAGGTTTTCAAAGAAGTTCTGTGTCCAGAATTGGTCCGAGGTTTTTGGTCATCATATTTTTGTTTGGCTCATTGCATGTTTTTCTATACAAATATAATCAAGCTCAATTTGTAAGATACATTTTATGAAATGCTTTCTAAATTTGAACAATGCTTCTTAAAGCCAGCGTAATGTAATAAAACGACTTTTCTTTTTTAACTTAAGTCGCAAATATTGCTGCCACTTTTGGGGCACCTTTACGGCTTTTTGATAGCATGTGATTTGACATTCGATTTGTAATTAGTTAACAGAATTGTTGCAATTTTTATTCATAAAATGAGAACCGAAAAAGCTATTTTACACAGTACAATAATAAAAACTCGATTTCAGAAATTTTCTTACTCAATATATCTCGCAATATTTTTTATTTATTTAATATTTTTGAAATGCATAACTTGTACATAATTTGGCTATACGCTTTCATTTTTATTACATGCAAAGTTAGTGTGGATGCCCAGCTTGTTACATTTCAAATTATTACTTGCAAAATTGTACCTCTGTTTTTGGTGTTACTTTTGCTGCATTGTATTGGCAATTTATTAGAATTTGTTGCTGGTTAATTTTTGGTTAGTGTTAGCAAATTATCGAGGGCTCGCGGTCAGATACAAGTACAGGGACTCTACATCTCCTGGTCGTATGATTGAGTCCGCCGCAGTAAAAGTTTTACTTTTCAAGGCTTATTTATTCTTTTTTTAAGAGTAATGAACGCAGTGAAGACTCTTGTATAGGTTTTGGTGATTTTTTGTCAGGAAAAGTCTTAAAATTTGTTCGCACTTACTTTTGATTTTTCGAGGTTTGGCTGGTGATTTGTTAAAAGGAAGGCAAAATTCACTATCGAACAGCAAACGTTTAATGGTCTAGAAAAACGTTTCGAAAGTGGAATTTAATTATCAGATTTCTCAGCGAAGTAAAATCTTTATACATTGATCCAGATTTTTGTTCAAATTGGGTAAATTTCTTGAAAAAATTGTCAATTGTAAGTTCTAGAAAATCAAAGAGGCTTAAGGCCATCTATTTTTATCTTTGAAAGTCAGTTTTTTTTCCGTTTCTTTGCGTTCATTAATCTTTTCCAACTGCGAGTTGGCTATATTTTCTTATTTCATCTTATAGAGCTTCTTTTATGTAGTTTTGCTAGTGGTTGTGAAGCGCATCGCAGCTTCGCCTCTGTGTTTTAAAATGTTTTCGAAATTTAGAGCTGATTTGATTTTCAAATTAACCTAGTTTCTTATTGTTTTTTTTTATTTGGTCGAAATTGTAGCAAATTTATAATTTCTAGCTTTTTGGAACGCATTTTAACTTTTTTCTTTGTTTTTTTTTGTCCGATCTAATATTCAACTGTGACATCAGACTAAAATTGTTGCTATCTACTGTGTGTATTGTAGGTGTTCGACATCCGTCCATCGCAGTTCTTCTCAGCGTCGCGCATTAAAGGAGCCATCCACCTACAACTGCCCAACCTCATCCTCCGAAGACTCCGACGGGGTCCGGTGCGACTGTCCTCTCTGATGTCGGACTCGGACAGCCGACAAGAGTTGGAGAGACACTCAGAATGTAACACTATCACAATTGTCCTCTATGAGGAGTCTCCGATGGTACAGCTGCTGGTCAAGAACTTCTCAGAATTAGGTTTCCACACCAAAGTGCTAAAAGGTAACTACCATAATAACAGTATTGGAATGTATGCCCATTAAATACAGATGGGTTCTCCTGCGTTTGTACATTTTCGTACTAGTTTTTTTTTCTTCAGGAAACTCAATTGTCGTGCTTGTATCGATCCGTTGCCAAGTGCTTATCGAGGTTTTGGAAAAACGCGACTATTTGCTGCGTTTGGATAAAGTAAAAAGTCAAGCATTCAAGAAAGGCAACGATTCGTCGCGTTTTGAAAAACAACAAATCGCATATAGACAACAAATTTTGTCGATCTTTTTTTAGGATGACCAAATTGATTTTTCGAGCACTCCCAATAAAGATCCCATTTTGACTAAAAATTTTGCGTCGTACGCAAATATTTGAAAAACAGGTAAAAAAAGCTGTTTTGGGCACTTTTTGGAAAATTTTGACCAAACAATTGCGTTTTTTCGCGCGCACTCCCCTTCAAAATTAGTATACATTGGCGCCAAAGGCGCCTTTGAATAAGTAAGGGTTAGTCGGCCGAAAATAGATGTCATAAAATAATAACAGAAAAGGGGGACCCTTGGGTTGGTGAGAGGCTCACATACCTGACTGGAAAGCTTTAGCAAATCCCCCGCCTAAATCCGCCTCTGGTTTTAGGTAACTTTGCCAACTTTGAAAACCTCTACCCCGAACTCTGTGAGCGCACACTACCAAATGACCCCTCCTTGTTCCACCCGTCGCAGCAGGGCGTGGCCAATGGGGTAGGAGGGGGTCTGAGTTTGAGTCAGGGTCAGGAGGAGATGATGAAAGCTGGCGGCAATAGTGGGGGCTTCTCCCAATCTGCCAATGCAGGCGACATCCGGATCCCACTGTGCAACCTCAGAATATCATGCAGTCAACCAGTCACCCCTGCCAAGTGAGTTGAAGTACCGTTTTTAAGCGAATCCAAACATGGTACCTACACTTGCATAGGTCCTGTGAATCTACGAGATTTTCTTAACTAGGTCTCAACTACTGCTGTTTTTGATTTGAATTTATGACCTTAATAACGCAAACAACGCTTCTGTTATAATGAACGTCCACGTTTTCAATGTAACTTTATCGTAATTACCAGCATGTGCGAAAATTTGAGTAGTTGTGAAACTTTTTGTGGACTCAGTGGTCCGATGGTACTGTTTGCATTCCAAGAGTAGTTGCTAGATCGGTTCCCGCTCTTACAGGTTCATTTTGAAGGCTTGCTTTCTTCCATGGCTTATTCTTTGTTACAATTTGTTACGTATTGTCTTAAAATTTTATCTGATTTTGGATAATAAAGTTTATTGAAACAAATGCAAAGTTTGAATTTGACTGTTTCCACGACCAAACGAGTGTATTATAATGTGAGTTCTTTTTGTTGAACCTAAGTCGAACATGTTTGTGCTCAATTCTTAAATTTGTGTTTTTCTCAATTCCAATTTCGCGAGTTACTTATTAGCATGCGTTTTATCCGACTTTTCAAAACGTTTTCTTTGCGACCTAAGTTTCTCATTTTGTTTGCTGCTCGTTAATTGCAGAATTTTTGGAGGATGTTCAACAAATTGCCAAATCTACAAACCGCTATTTCTTAATTTATTTTATTAAGACCGTTTATCCACGGGGTAAAGGACCAACACAAGTGCTGTTCAGCTCATCACGGCGAACCGCTGTTGTGCCCCTGTTTAAGAACTACATGCTATTTTTCTGGTTATTTTTCTGGGCTGGGTAATGTTGCTTCACCCTCAAGCAACGAGCACGGATCCTGGTGGGCCTCGAACATCCGACCTTCCGATTGAGAGGCGGAGACGTAACCACTTCACCGCCGCTCCCCTTTTCTTGAAGCCAAAATTACACCAGAAGGACAAAAATTACATCAAATTGCGTAACAATTGCATAACAACAGTGACAGTTTGTTGTTACGTTGCATAACAATATTAGTTTTTGGCTTGGAATGGTAATTTTTATTTTGACGTGTTGACTATTCGGCTTGTTAGCCTACCACCGCTTTTAAACCAGATTGAGGTTTTTATCAGTTTAATCCAAAACACTGCATGTTTCAACCAATTTGAGCGAATATATTATGAATCTGTGGTTTTTTGCCCGATTTTTGGTTCAAATGAAGCGATCTAAAAACAATTCAAAGTAAAGAAAATAAACATTTTGTCGCATTAGTTAGATGAGCAAAATTAAATAATCACGATTGCGATTACTTTCTATAGCGTCTTAGAATTTTTTGGATCCATGTAGTATGTATGTTTTTCCGGATTTACACAAGCCAAGCGTAGTGTATTATTACGAAGTATTTTTTTCTAACTTAAGTCGCAAATGAAAGTGCCCATTTGGTTCAAACATAACCAATTTAAAAGCTTAGGTGGCTGTTTTATTTTTGGCCTTCGTTAGGTCCTGTTTGAAAAAAAAACAGGTATTATGAAAACGTATGCAAACCTATTTTAAAAAATTTTTTTTTGCGACGCTTTGGAAATATTCTCCATTTTTCGCAGAAATATCAATTTTTCTCAACTACTGGACCAATTTTCAAAAAGGTACCAATGGAAAAACCGGCTGCTTTTTTATGTGCTCGCGTTTTGTGCTAGTCTGTTCTTGTTTTACCCTACGTTCTACGGCCTTCAAAAGTTCCAGTGGAGGGGTTTTTGACCTATTTGGCTTAAATTTTTTCATCTCAAATTTTAAATGCACAAAACTGAGTTGAGGGTGTCAATAAAAAAAAAACTCTGATGATCTCCTCTTGTCAAGCGGCTATTCCCTTAATTCGATAGAAAAATATTATGGCCTCAAACAAGCCCATTCTGTGACATATTGTTTTTTTCAAGAGATGGATTTTTCTTAAAAACTGTTCTTCCAAATCGGAGACTAAGGGTTTAACCGGAAGAAAAATTATTTTTGAAAATCTTCCCTGCGCAAGCGGCTATGCCCTGCCTTTTGAAAAAAATATACGGCCTTAGAAAATGTCCAATTTTTGCCTGTTTCTTGGAAAACTTTCTTAAAAGAAACTAAGCTGCTGATTCTTAGGTTTATAGTTCATTCAAACGAACATAATGCTTCGATTTTCCGTGAGCAATCTGTTTTACCCTATTTATTTGTAGAAAAACTGATATGGACTTCGGAAATTTTTTTTAGAAAGTTCATCACTTTTCTCGAAAACTACTACTTAAGTCTGATATCAAGGTTTCATTCTAAAAATCAGGGTGCGGAAGTCTTCACTGCATCAGAGGTTATTCCTATGCTTGAGTAGAGAGAAGTTTATGGATTGAGGAAAAGTCGCTTTTTCGAAAAATACTCAACCACAGCAAATCTGAGATAAAGACTTCAATTGAAAAAAGAACTAGTAGTTTTCTCTTTTAAATAAGCGTCTCATCTCCTGCTTAGGCAGAGAAATCGCTAGCGTTTTGCGTAAAGTCCTGTTTTTGAAAATTACGCTTTTCCGTATCAGTACAATATATGGTTAAAAGTATTAAAACAGGTGGATTCAGCGTTAGCTGGGCCACTAGTTTCCTTCTTAGCAACCGAGGCGCAGATGTGAGGACGTGAGACTCCGAATCAACATGTCAGAGTTTCAAATCCTGATCATTGAAATGTTATTATTTTTTTTCGAATTTTTGCTGCGTAACATTGCAACATTGGCAATTTGATAGGAATTGTAGCTGCTATATTAGTGGCTACTGTTAGTAAATACAAGCGGTCGTGGAGCAAATGTGAGAACTTGATACTCCTAGCCTCATTAACTTTTTTTCTCAAGGCATATTTTTAATTTTTTCCTTATTTCACTTTGATTCGCTTGTTTAGAGCTCTTTTTTTTGCATTCTCCTCGCTTGTGTTTGCGAAGCGCAGTTCGTATCTCTGTAATTTTTACTTTGGGGTAATTGTCATTAATTGTTTATGATAAGCAGTGCGAAGCACCGATTGGTCTCTGCGTTAATTTATGGTATGCTTTTTTTTTAAAACAAAAAGGTGTTAGGATTTAGACTGCTTTGTAGAGAGTGGTATTTAAGTGTCTATCTGCTCTTGGACGAGTTCTGTTGTTCAACTATTCTTCAGTGCGACCTCCCTAAAATAGGCTACCGCATTGATCGCATTCCTTTTTTGTACGAATATCGGCTATTCAGTAATCATAGCAATTTGAAACTAACTTCATTTGACTTTTAGTCGCGTCAGATTTGATTTTTTACGTTTTTGATTGAAGCCCTTACATTTTTCATTCCGGTTTTGAAATTCCTTAAATCCTTCTTAATATCTCCGGCCTTCATTCCGTGGGGAGAGAGATGTCATCCATTTTGCCGTAATGGGTCTCAACTTGAGGAGGTGATTGACACTGGGACTTCTCCAACCATGACAGAAGTGTGATTCGAACCCACGACTTTAGTGTTAAAGGCAGGGCGTCTATCAAAATAACTTTTTAAAAGTTGGGCAAGTTTCGAGAAAATTGGTCTGACGTCTTAGTCATCGTGTTTTTTTTACAGCTAGGCCAGAAGAAAATAGTCACATCTGGTCGTAAGATATTAAAATACTTATTTTAAGATTAAATTATCTAAAAAGCATGATAGAAATGTTTAAGAACGCTTCAGCAAGATGTGATTACACGACGTATTTCAGGCTCTTTGAGAAGCCCATGAACTTCAAATTTGAATATAGAAGGACACTTTCTAATATTTTTTTTGCAAATGTCATTTTTTTGCTTGTTCTTAAGAAGACACTAAGCCATTACCGCTGATATTTGGTGGCACCATTCTGTGCAACTTGTATTGCAACCAGTTATTGTATAATACTAATTTGTTTAACAAAGCGCAAAGTTAGCTGAGCTCCTTGTCTGAATCAGCTAAATGATAAATCAATAAATTGATTTTTTATCCGATGATTGATATGTTATTAATGTCCCTTTCAAGAATGTCCCATCGTTGATTAAATTCTAATTTTGATATGCTATTGATTTTCATTTCAAGAATGTCCCATTGATGATTATTTTTTAATTTTTTGGATTAATTTTCTAGGTGTTGATTTATGTAGATCAGCATATATGAACAATCCTCAAAAACGATGACCCGGAGTGAAATGTGACAGACGATGTCATAATTGTACGATTTCTATAAATAGTAAATGCTGGTTTTTTCTATGTTGTACCATAAGCCATTAAAAATGTTCAATTAGAATTTCGCCCTATTGATATTCTGAAATCATCAAAATTTCATAATACAAAAAGGGAAATGGAATCTTTATTTAAAGATGACTAAGTGTGGGAAGACTTTTTGTTAAAACTCTGAAATGGACATATGTAAGTAGAAAAGATGCTGCAACAATTGTTCATTACCAGTCAAAAAACGGAAACCTGTGGGTAAGGCTAATGTAACTGTTTATACCGATTAAGATAGAAAGTAGATCCCATCTTGCTAATGGTAAGGTTTTTAATTTTCTGAAAATGACGTCAATAAGCAAAGTAATGCAGGCCGATACTGACTAGATTTCTGTTAGACATTTTGTTTACACAATAATTTTTTTCTTCTCAGCAATTAATGGGCGTATTCTACGTTTAATTTATACCTGTTCTAAATGAAACTTTTAAAACAACGATTTAAAGAAGGAAGGAAAACTCCACCATCGAACATCGAAAGTTTAAAGGTCACTAAAAACGTGATTGATTTCTAAAATGGAGCTTAATTATCAGATTTCCGAACGAAATAAGAGTTAAACTTATTGATCCCTTTTTCTCAAACTGGGTTAGTTATATCAAGAAAGTGTCAATAATAATTTGTTCTGGAATTTCAAAGCGCTTAAAGGCATCCAATTTTTTGAAGTTCGAAAGTTGACATTTTTTCAAAAAACAAGTCAGTTTTTTTCGGTCTTCGAGCTCGTGCTCACTTTTCTAACTGGCAGTAGGCTGTGGACAAG